CTTTATAATAGAAAAGGGCAGGATATTGAGGATGTTGATAAAAGAAGCACTAATGAGGACAGAGCTCCCTTCTGATGTCCTTTCTGTATTCACTAGTTGTTTCCTGAAAAGGTAGCTTTTCTTTTTTCCTTTCTCCTTTGAAAGTTCACTGTCTTGGAATCAAAGCTGCCCCTGCATTTTTGAAGATTGGGGGATGCACACTATATAGCTGCCACACAACAATTTTAGGAGAATCTCCAAGGTATGACTCCTTCTCTTGCTTGGATTTTTACATGTTTCTATAACCTGTATTAGGCCACAGCTGTACAACTTGGGGTGGAGTGAGGGGGGCTTTCTGCTATTACCCTAGAGACATTTGCAGTTTGCACACAACTCCATAGCCAGTATGTTAACTGGAGTCAAGATGTCTATGTATATTCTATGCTGACAGAGGTTCATAGGCTTATTATACAGCAATGGATCGAATTTGAAGTTTTGTGCAGTCTCACCCCATAACATGTATGAAATTTGCTGTGTTCATACTCCCTGTGGCTTCTCCTTCATTCTAGATAAGAGAGTACGGATTTCTGCTCACCACAGGACTCCAGAACAGACCCTATTTATTTCTCCCTTTTATTTACCCAACTTGCATCCATCTCAAGAACTGAGTCAAGTCAATCTCAGCACTCCTTTGTACGGTCTTAGTTTCCATCATGTGGTTTGATTTTAATTTAATAGTTTGTGGAGTGCTCAGTTATTCATATGAAGGGGACTATAGAAGTGTGATCTGATTGATGGAACACATGCTTCTTTATACTTTGACACCTGTTTGGAGTTGTGTGCTAAATAACACTGAGTTTGTAGATGTTTCTGGCTGCTGCCAAGACAGATTATATTACAGCAGGTGCCAGGGAAACCCATGAATATTTTGGACATGGAAGCGTATATAACAGGAAAGCAGTTCTTGTATGTGTAAAGACAGCCTATGCTAGGGAACACTGCCAGGGGACCAAATGAGCCACAAAGAATGGAATCTAACAGAGCTTATGGAAGAAGTTTTTACCATACCAGGTGCTGAGTCATCAGCTGCAAGTCTAACTGGTCAGAAATAGAACATTGGATATCACTTCTCTTGGGGCAAAGGACAAAAAAGAAACTTTACACGTGTTTGATTTACAGGAGAAATAAGATTACATTCTGATAGACAGTTGAAATCAATGGGTCATGTGTGTCTAGAAGTGTGCAGGATTACATTCCGCAATAGCAAGGATGGTGCAGCTCTGACTGATGTACATTGGCAGAGTTGTGAGAAGAAAGTTGTTCAATGCTGTGCAGAAGAAGGCTTCATTAACAGTGAAAATATGGGTACAAAATAATAATGTATGCAATGGGTCAGAATTGGTCCCAAAGACTTAAATGCATACCAGAAAGACATTAAAATGATGGATGGATCAATAGCAGTACCACGTTTAGCAAGTAAACAGGCAAATAAGAATGCAGAAAGTGGAAAGTCACAGATGTTTAAATATATGAAAGAGCCTATTTTCTCACAGGGGCATTGTTACTTATCGGGTCAGCAATAATCTTTTTTAAAACCAAACCCATAATTCTAGTTATGTGTAAGCAGATGAAACCAGATGCCACTATATTTCCAAAGTCAATATTCCAGAATTTTTCTCCGTAGGTCGCAGTAGTTACAGACAATTTCTTCTGCAAAACTCTGTGAAAATAAATCTTTTTTCTTTTACCTCAGTAACATTTTGGGGTTTTTAGATTTCAGTGGTATAGATTTTATCATTTACTTTACTCCTTTAATGGAGGGTTTCTATTTATACACCATATTCGTAGCTATCCAGTATTTTCCCTTAGCACTCATCATCTAAGCAAACTTAGTTTAAATAAATACATTTTCAAACAAATCTTCACTCTTTGTAATTCCTTGGAAGTGACATCTAGGGTATGGCTGGACAGCGAGGGTTTTTCGGGATACCTAAAAAGTCCACCGCATCCAGGGAACGCGTTTGCTCTTCCACTTTTTTTTGTGGAAGAACAAACACACTCTTTTGAAAGCCCCTGTATTCCTCGTTCCACGAGGAAGAAGGGGACTTTCGAAAGAGGGTTTTTTTCCAAAATTTGGCTCAGTCTAGATGTGCTAAGTTTCAGAAAAGCCTCTTCTGACAAAAGTATCGGAAAAAAATATGCAAAATGCAGAGTGCATTTTGTGTATCTTTTTCCAATAGATCCTCGCAGTCTAGACATACCCCTAGTTCCTTACCAGGCCTCTGCAAAAACTTATGTTTTTAATTTTAAGCTTACATACCTGAGTAACTTTAAGAACATATCAAATCTCATTAAGGCCTCAGTGCGATTACTCATATGAGACATAGGTGTTTGCAGGATCATGGTCACACAAACTTTCATCTGTCTACTGGCCTGCTCATGTAGAGCTGCTCACTAACTCTGGGTAGTCTACTTGTTTGTATAATATGCTATTTGTGCTGCTGTATAAATGTCATTTTTTTAGCAAGAATATAAAAACATTTGGGCCCTGATTAAGAGGTGTTGAGGTCTTTCAGTTCTCACTGACAGGATTTGGTGTTATGAATCATCAGCAGCATCTTTAAAAATGAGGCACTTCGCTTTCCTGTTAAAATGATATTGTGCAAAATAGGTGAAATATTAGGTTGTTAAACTCCAAAGTGGAAGCAGCATATAAAACTAATTCTCCCTATCGAATAGGAATGAAAGAGAATAGAGATGTAAAATATAAAAGAACCTTTGCACAAATCCTGTTGAATTTAACAGAAACATTGTATATAAACTTTTTGAGCCATTCTGTAGAATTTAATATACCTGCTGTAGAGTTTTATAGCCTGTTTAAAAATACCTATGGAAAGACAGCATTCTTGTTAAATTACACAGATTTATAGAACCCTGTTCAATTCAATCCCTGTTACATTTTAAAAAAACATTTCTTTAAGGGGAAAGTTACACTGGTGATGTTTAAAAAGAATGATTGATTTTCAAGCAAAGGAAGTAGATAAGATATTATAAACTCAGATGTATTGTGGATTGTATGAGGATGGCTAAATGACATTATTATCTATTAGTAATTAACCTGTTTGAGCTATCAGTTAATTTGTTAGACAAATAAAAAAAGCTGTCAATCTTTAACCTCTACCACTTTGCACTCTCAATGTTACTAATTAGATGCATTGTAATGAATTATCTACAACTAAGCAAATACGACTTCTGGTTTTCCTGAGATTTGAATGTTAACAGATGAATTTAAATCACATTTAACGAAACAGCAACTCCTGGCTACATGCGTACTTATTTTCTTTCTATGAGCGAATGCTTCTTCTTATCACTCAGCTTTAGAGTGAAATGGTTCAACAAAATTTTAGCAAGGTATTAATGCCATATTATTATTACATAAACAACTTTTTTTCATATCCAAGAAGAAAAATCCCTTAAATCTAGAGGGCAATGGGATTAAGCCAAGTGTTATCAAGCTTGAAGAAACAGAAGCTTTCATGATAGCCAGAGCTATTAGAATGGGCAAAAGAGAAGACTGGTTCTCAGGATGAAAAGAATACAGGGAAGGAGAGATAAGCACTTATTACACAAGAAAGATCACTTATTTTGAATTTTGGAAATCAGAGAAGGAGCTGAAAATCCCTATTCACCAATCAAATTACCAAGACACATGTAAACTATACATAAACAGTCATGCATGGCTGGAAGGAAAAAGAGAGGGAAGGAGAGAGGCTGAGTGAATATTAAAACTGGGGGCAAGATTTGATTAAAAAAAACCACCCAATTGCTACAGTGATGGCTATGAAAGAGATGTGTAAATGTATAGTAATAATAAAATGCACAAAGAATATTAAAGTGTATCTCCAGGATAGAGATTTTGGGCTAAATTACAAGGTGGATTTAGGCACGTAAGTTCAACATTTCCAACATTCACAAAATCATCACTCTCCCTTTTTCTGATCCAATTAATATTTGCTTGTTTATACTCAGTGTAAATATTGAAGTTGAGTCTTTTAAAGATGAGCCCAAGACCACAAGCCAGATAGTCAGAGTAAGTATTTAGGTATAAGTTACAGATACTTTAGTCAAATATTGTGAAATATCATTCATAAACTGCTAGGCAGAATTTTGAAAAGCAGTTTGTTCATCATGAGTTGTCAAGAGCTACCTAATGAGCAGAGACCCTAGTTTTCTATAGGAACACCCCCCCCCAAAAAAATTCTCTGATGAAAAATCCCCATAAAACTTATATTTTTCTGCTATTAAAATGTTATCTGACAGCCAGAGACAGCTTATGTTTCACAGCCAGAGCCTCACCACCTGAGGCAGTCAACGAGAAACCCATCAGAGTCTCTGTAAAAATGCAACTTGGGTGTTTTTCTGGACAAGCAGATTTTTAGGATCCCTGCGAATGAGCTCATGTTAATTACCATGTTAATTTTCAATGGTTTCACAACAGAGTTAGTTAAGATTGCAAGGTGCACCTTAAACATGTGTTACAACAAAATGGAGATCTCTACCTTTCAGTGATGCTCTGACTGAGGCTCATGAGCTGCAAGTGGTGTTTTAATGTGTCTCCCAAGGCTCTTTGCAGCACATGATATTAAAATACTGCATGATTTCATTATTGACTACCTAAGTTATTAACCAGTCAGGATGCTTCTATTATGTTATTAACCAATTATGTTATTCATTTGCTCCAAGTTATTAATTAAATATTTCCTCTGTTGCACTGTTAAAATATAGATATATAGTATCCTAGTAAAAGAAACAATGAATTCATACTACTGTTTATCACTGATATGTCTCCTGAACCACTACAATCTGAGTATCCCTGCTCCAGAGAATAGCATAATAAAGTAAAGGCTCCATAGTTGTAGAACCGAGAAAAGTGATATGCAATTTAAGAAGCAGCTCCCAAAATGTTAATTAGAAATTCCTCAGAGGAATGTCTGTGTAACAGAATTGTTATTCCAACATACCCCTTTGTGGCTCTATGAAGTTATGCAGTGGTTCAGCCTCAGTTTCTCCAGTCTTTGGGCTATTCCAGCCTTAGAATAGACCCAGTCCTCCATCCAAATTGCTTCACAGAGTCCAGCCTCTTCCAGGGCTACAGAGTCCTTAACTAAAGTCCAATAGCAGTTTATAAACAATCAAACTCTCAGCTCATCTGGGTTCATCTGACCACCAACTCATCACAGGCATATCTCCACCCCCACAGACTGCACTACCTAACACAGGCTTCTGTGCTGCAATCAACCCCTCTGTCAAGGGGCTGACATGCTTACTCAGGAGTTCAGGCAGACTAAAGATCAACAGGGCCCATGTCTCCAATCAGGCTTCTGCTTATCTCTTCTGCTCTTCTCCCCTTCTCCTCTCTTCTGCTTGTTTTTCTCCTTGTTATATTCTGCATATCCAGTATTGGTGCACCCATGTAGGGGCTAGCTGAGTTTCTAGTTGCAAGTTAATCTCTTCCTTACTGATTTTGAACCTATATATAAAAGATCCAGGTTGCATGGCGGACTCAATAGACAAGAATAGCTACTGTTTTGACCTTTTCTTTAAAGGGAATTAGATGATTTGATCACTGGCATAACTGTTACCTACAGCTCCAGTAGACTCATCAGCTGGCAGTGGACTGTCATTATTTTATGAGACCCCTGGCAATAATTTGCTAAAGAAGCACTCACTAGACACTATAGAGGTGCTAGGGGCAGAGAAAAAAGACATTTATAGAGGCCTACAGGGCTCTCTGAAACTTCAGTATTCTATTTTAATCTTGCTGGTTCCTAGACTGCAAAAATAATTTATAGTGGAAGATTTGTTTGGACAAAGAATTAAAGCAATCATTATTCTCAAAAGACAGACACTCAGGCTATGTCTAGACTACATGGCGCCATCGACGGAGCCATGTAAAATAGTTTATTCGGCATAGGCAAAGAAACGGAGATTTAAATAATCCCCGCTTCTTAAAATAAAAATGGCCACCATGCTGGTCCGACGATCAGCTGATCTGGCACAGCGGGGCAGTACCACGGTCGACAAGGGAAGCCTTTCACAAGGCATACCAAAGCGGTCAACAAAGACTTCCTTTGTCGACTGTGGTGCGTCTAGACTGCCCCGCTGTGCCAGATCAGCTGATCGTCGGACCAGCATGGTGGCCATTTTTATTTTAAGAAGCGGGGATTATTTAAATCTCCGTTTCTTTGCCTATGCCGAATAAACTATTTTACATGGCTCCGTCGACGGAGCCATGTAGTATAGACATAGCCTCAGAGTAAGGCTAAAGCTTTACTAGAAGAATAGAATTTATAATTTGCCACAGCAGTCTGGGTTATTTAAATCTTTTTAGTTTGGGGTAATGAAGCACAGTCTCAAGGTCTAATTTATCACTACATTTTACACTGGCCTCAAACCCCGTCAATATTTGCATTATAAATGGAGGTCTAAATAGTTTCTAAGCCAAGTTCAACATGTATGCTTGCTCAAAGTACACAGGAACCTAGCACACCATAAAACTTCAGCATTTGAACATACTAATGGACACTTACAGGTACAGTCATAGAATCATAGAATCATGGGACTGGAAGGGACCTCGAGAGGTCATCGAGGCCAGCCCCCCGCCCTCAAGGCAGGACCAAGCTCCGTCTACACCATCCCTGACAGATGTCTATTTAACCTGTTCTTAAATATCTCCAGAGAGGGAGATTCCACCACCTCCCTTGGCAATTTATTCCAATATTTGACCACCCTGACAGTTAGGAAATTTTTCCTAATGTCCAATCTAAACCTCCCTTGCTGCACTTTAAGCCCATTACTCCTTGTCCTGTCCTCAGAAACCAAGAGGAACAAATTTTCTCCTTCCTCCTTGTGACACCCTTTTAGATATTCGAAAACCGCTATCATGTCCCCCCCTTAATCTTCTTTTTTCCAAACTAAACAAGCCCAGTTCATGAAGCCTGGCTTCATAGGCCATGTTCTCTAGACCTTTAATCATTCTTGTCGCTCTTTTCTGTACCCTTTCCAATTTCTCCACATCTTTCTTGAAATGTGGCGCCCAGAACTGGACACAGTACTCCAGCTGAGGCCTAACTAGTGCAGAGTAGAGCGGCAGAATGACTTGCTTACAACACATCTGTTGATACAACCTAGAATCATATTTGCTTTTTTTGCAGCAGCATCACACTGTTGACTCATATTCAACTTGTGGTCCACTATGACCCCTAGATCCCTTTCTGCCATGCTCCTTCCTACCCAGTCATGTTAGAGCTGAGTAAAGTTTTCTTTAGCACAATCAGTTTGTTTTCCAGTGTGTGAAATGGAACTTGAAGCATTTTTACATTTTGAAATTACTCTGTGAAATTTCAGGCCTATTGTTTTGGTAGTAATGTAGTTGTGAAAAAAATCAATGTGCCACCATTGTAGGGAGAAGAGGGAGGAAGCACCTCAGAATATTGAAAAAAATCTGTTGAAGGAGGAAGAGGAGTTGGTAATAGAGTCACAGTTATTGGGCAAGAGGTCTGATCATAACTAGTCCTGAGTTCTAGATTCAGTCCTTCCAGTGACAGGCCTTAACAATAGTTTGCCACAGAATTTACCCCCTCCGTATTTATGCCCTCCTACTTCAGCCAGGCCCACTGCACCTGAAGAGATATGATGTGTGGAGAAAGGCAGCTGATGTTTGCATTGATACATTCTAATGCAGAACTTGCCAGGAAAGGACAACTTCAACTTGCATCCCCTGTGATCCCGGACCATACCCTATTCCTGGTCATCACCTCCCACTTTTATGGCAGTGTTAACCAAGTAAAAGCGACGAGGAGTCCTGTGGCTCCTTATATATTATAAGGTGCCACAGGACTCCTCATTGCTTTTGCAAATTCAGACTAACACAGCTACCCCTCTGATACTTAGCCAAGTAAGGATAACATGGTGTAGTGAAGAGCCATGCATAACTTCTGTTGCCACAAAAAAAACCAACAAATGATCTGGTAGCACTTTATAGACTAACAAAACATGTCGATGGTATCATGAGCTTTCGTGGGCACAGCCCACTTCTTCAGAGAATCGGAAAGCTCATGATACCATCGACATGTTTTGTTAGTCTGTAAAGTGCTATCAGACCATCTGTTGTTTTTTTCGTTACGGACTAACTCAGCTATCCCCTGAAGTTTCTGTTGTCACAGTTCTTCTTTCTGTGGTATTTCCAGTGCTAGGGACACTGGCTTATCACTGCAGACCCATTGTAGCCTGCAACTGACTCAAATCCTTGCTAACACCTTTTGCCACACCACCAAGAAACAAGATACAACTATCATTGCCTCCTTTTTACAGCTGTGGAAATCAAGACTTGGAGCACTTCAGTGAGTGGTTCACTGCCTTGAACCAAATCAATGTCATAACTAAGATTAAGGCCAACGTTAGCTGTCTGGTAGGCACCTATGAGATTTGCAGAACCTTCTTAGCAGGTAACTTAAACTTTCTGAGATGTTCTGAATCTGCAAAATAAAGATTCTACGATGGAGTCCCCTACCTACATATAGCTATGAATGTACTAAATTCCCTGAATGTTCAGATTTTATTAGGTTAAAAATAATTTCCCTGGTTTTCAGAGGGAGAAAATGAGGCACAGAGAGGTTAAATGACTTAGGTATTTTCTTTACAAAATATGTAACATCTGTTTTGAGAGTATGCTACAGTCAGCATAGCCTAGCCGCAATAAAATCAAATGGGACTTCAGCAGCTCTAGCACTGCTTGAACAGACCTACACTGTAGTCTGGATAACCAAAGATTTTAAATCACATGTTCTGTCTCCCATCACTTTAGGAACTACTTATTTCATGGAAAGAGCCTTTCCCGTGCCAATATACTTAGCTAGACAAAAAAGGAGGAGAGAAGAAATATTTCAAAGGCTGTGGGAACAAATGCTATGGAGCGCAATATACTGTACTATTTTTCAAACTCAGAGAGTTGATTTGGTGTCCAGTAAAGACTCAAACAGGCCTTAACAATGATACCTGCTAATTCCCATTACATTGCAAATATACATATTTCACTGGGATCACTTGAAATGCTCAAGTAAGATATACTGTTGGGATTTTTCCATTTGAAAGACCATTTGGGATACAAAATAAATTAAACTAGCAAAACGTTTTAGTGGGACTGAATGTAACTAGGCATGGAAGAACTGCAAGAGCTAATATAACCTCTGTTTTTCCATACCCAGAGATCAGTCACATGCCTTTAATCTGAATGAAATTTGTTAAAGAATAGAACAAGAAAAGACAAGAGTCTCCCACCCTCAGTAAAACAGCAAGCAGTGCTGTGGCACCTTAGGGTCTGTCTATACTAGCCCCCTAGTTTGAACTAGGGAGGCTAATGTAGGCAAATGGAGCCTGGGATTTAAATATCCTGGACTTTATTTTCATGTTCCCGTCCGTCCGCCATTTTTAAATGCCACTAGTCTGGACTAACTGCCCGCGGCTACACATGGCAGTTAAAACGGTAATTCGAACTAGGTCCTTAGTTCGAATTACCTGTTACACCTCATTCCAGGAGGAGTAGCAGGTATTTTGAACTAAGGACTTAGTTTGAATTACCGTTTAACTGCCGCATGTAGCTGTGGGCAGTTAGTCCGGACTAGTGGCATTTAAAAATGGTGGCCGGACGGGAACATGCAAATAAAGCCCAGGATATTTAAATCCCGGGCTTCATTTGCCAGTTCGAATGCCTACATTAGCCTCCCTAGTTCAAACTAGAGGGCTAGTATAGACATACCTTAGAGACTAACAAATGTATGAGGTCATGAGCTTTATCAGATGCATTGAAGTGAAAATTACAGAGTCTGGGGCAGGCCTAGGAAAAATATGCCCAGCTACCAGATCTGGCCCATGGAGGCAGCGGAGGACCCCAGGCAGGCTCCCCTGCTTGCCCTGCAGCCCCATGCAGAAATGCAGCTGCTGGGATTCCTTTTTGTTTCTAAACTGGAAGGGAGGAGGGGAAGTTTCAGGAGCCACCCAGTCCCCAGCACAATCCTTGATTGAATAACAGGCAGCCAAGAAGAACCACGCCCCCTCTCCTCAGCTCAGTTATTCACTGAAGAACATGTCCAGGCAAGCAGGCAGGCTGGCTGGCTGGGAAATGTTTTAAGCTCTGCAAGCCTTAGTGCAGCATACAGGCAGGCTGATTTGGCTGCTGGCTGGTAA